GAACGACGTCAATGATGATCCTGATCTGCTCAAAAGGGTTATAACTGGTGACGAAACATGGAAAATTGAAAAGGCCCATGAAAGGACGAAGATTTGCGACGATTGAGGAGATTTAGGCTGCATCGCTGGAGGAGCTCAAGGCAATACCCATAAATGCATTTCAGAAGTGTTTTGACGACTAGAAAAAGCGCTGGCACAAATGCATTGTATCAGAGGGGGATTATTTTGAAGGGGATAACATAATTTTGGATGAATAAATAAATATTTTTTTATAAAAATAAAAAGTCACCTTACTTTTTGATCACACCTCGTATTTCCTTAAATCGCCATGAACGATCTAAAAAGTAATGCCTTATTACTTTATTTTATAGTATACTTAAAGTATAAAAAATCAATTTACAGATCTCAAATGGCATAATTTTACCTGAAAGCTATTCGTGGCATAAAATCTTAACGCAATTAGTAACTGCATCATAGGAGAAATTGGAAGTCCTCGCATGGTTGGCTTTTCCAAGTCTTGCGCTATTATCGGCAACAAAATATCTCGTACTGATACTTTCTTAAAGCGGAATCTTTTCCTGAACTCTTCATCTGAATAATATTCCAGCGGATTTTCTGCGTCGCGAATATAGCGTTTTTGTAATCGGACTATACAATTATTAATTTCTACATTTTCGATATCATAAAAGTTATCAAAGTCTTCCATATTTTATAACTACACGCAATAATATTAATAAAGATAATAAACATCAGCTCTGATTTATACACAAATCACGCGCGCGCACTAAATTCGGTTAGGAATCCTACCTAAAGGAGTCCTCAAGGAAGCTGTTATCCTCCCTTGAGTGAAGGAACGAAATTGGTTCTAATGCGCAGGCGTCAGACGGAGTACATCTTGACATTTTGACTATAAATTGGTAAACTCGACTTAAGGCGACCTTCAAGTATTCCTTAACACTTGAGGTGGGACTATGAATACGGCCCTATGAGTCTTCTACGTTATGTGCTGCACCATTCCTACGATTAATAAATGTGTTACTTAATTGTACATATATGATATAAACAATCTATCCACAATATATATCCAATAATAAAGACAAATAAATAAATAATAAATAAATAATAATTAAAGACAATATTAGGTAATGATTGACATGCAATATTGGCTGTACACATTGGCATTTATTATATAGCCAATATTGTGTAACGACTGACATGCAATATTGGCTATACGTTGGCATCTACTATATAGCCAATATTGGCATCGCATTGGGAAATATTGGCCAATGTATCGCCAATGTAGAGCCAATATTGGATAATGATTGATATGCAATGTTGGCTACACATTGGCATTTATTATATAGCCAATATTGTGTAACAACTGACATTCAATATTGGCTCTACATTGGCATCTGTTATATAGCCAATATTGGCATTGCATTGGAAAATATTGGCCAATGTATCGCCAATGTAGAGCCAATATTGGATAATGATTGATATGCAATATTAGCTATACATTGACATTTGTTATATAGCCAATATGGCATTACATTGGGAAATCTTGGCCAATGTATCCCCAATATAACCAATATTTAGCCAATCTTAGCCAATGTATAGCCAATGTTCTGTGCTACTAGGGAAGGAATGCGCGGAATGTGGTCGACAACAATGACAACAATGACGACAACGACGTATCTGAAACTGAATCTTCTGAAAAGTAGCAGTTCGGAACTTTGCGTCGCGATATCTCCGCTCGTAGGGTATCTAGAAAAAAAATAAAAGCACTTTTATCATACAATCCCTGTGGTGGCTATCGATTGAGCATACATAGAACGCGATCGGTTCAGCCGTTATTGAGATCCGATAATCTCGATCTGCCGCAACTCGTCGGTTCGCGTAAAGGAGGCACGGCAGTGTCGCTGCGCGTAGCTTAGCGCCGAGACACTACCAGTGTCTCCAGATATGTATATACGTGCGTGCGTGCGTGCTTGCGGGTGTGTAGATATAGTCTTGAAAATAATTTTGTGAAGTTATCAAAATAATGTATAACATTGCCGAACAACGCTGCAAAAAATTTTGACATTCTAGCAATTAGCTCGAATATCCTACATTTAGAATACTACAATTACTTCGATAATCCAACGAAGTTATTTTTAGATCTGTATCTTGCTAAATTTTTTAATATTTTAGCAGCTGCTCTTTCCGTGCAGGAATAATTAAAATGACACAAATTGGGTATAATTTGACGAAATGAATAGTGCATTATCTATTCAAACTTTCTGTATTTTCTGCCAAAATATATCAGTGATCCCGAAACAAAGTACAACTTTACCATTTTACCGCATACAAGTTTATTCGATTAATGTCAAATATTCGGCGGTTAACTCCGTACTTTCGTGAGATATTCGCGATAACCGAAGCTACACCGGATAAGGAAAATAGGGTCGTATTCCGTATAGGAAATTGTGCATACATCGTATGTACTTCCATAGAATATTTCACTGTTTCTCGGTGATTGCATTGCGGCAACGTACATAAAACTAACTTTACGAATACACCGCGGCGTAGATTCCGCACATAAGGCGGATTTGAAAAGCGAATTAGGATGTTGCAGCGGTATCGTTTGTTTTCGACGTGTCCCGTGTTTTCCGAGAGTTTCTCCACGAATATCCGATGAGATGCGTGTCCCGCGAAGTTTTGCCGATTCCGAAAAATTTGGCAGTAACGTAGAGAAATACCCGCCCCCGCGGTTCTCACGCAACTCAGTTTTAAGATCGCGAGCACCAGTAAACCGAATTCCCTCGCGAGGATGGTAATAGCATCGATTAAAGACATTTATGCGGCCGATCGGTGCACGGTGCGGCGGAATTGGTTAATCCATTTGGCCATCGTTATTC